TCTTTCCGGCAAAAAAGATTTTTACGAAATTTCTCATTTCTCGATGCTCTCCCCTTTGTATGAATGAACGTTCCTAATGCAAGTAATTAAATTACACGGCTCCTTAAATTCCCTAAAATTCTCACTATGTTCTGTTGTAGATTCACCCGCGACATATCTCTTCATCAACGGACGAAACCACTACACGAAGCAGATCTGCATTTCCATCTCTTGAATGCGAACAGGGAATAGTGGTAACAGGTTTTGAGGAAAGAGATGAAGAGGAAAATGCAGTGCATTTGGTTGACCTCTCCAATAGGATCGACGGATTGAAAAATGAAAACAGAGATCTTTCAAGGAAAATAGCGGAGTTAGAAAAAGAATGCACCATCTCAAAAGATAAGTTCTCAACAATTGAGAAACAATATCAGGAACTAACCAAACGTTTGGAGAAGGTAGAAGCAGAGAAAGATAAACTACAAGATGATTTCGAAAATGAAAAGTCCGTGAAAGAAATTTTCATGAAGAAATGCGAAGACTTGACGAAAGCGTTTGAGAAAGTTCAGAACGAAAATGAAGATTTAAAAGAGCAGGTTCAATCGATCCAGAAGAAGCTGGAAAACAAAGAAATAAGACTTGTCTTCGGACAGATCGCATGGATCCTCGAGGAAATGATTTGGGATATTGTTATTCCGAATCAACCAAAGGGATCCACCGCCTATCTTACATCAATGGAAAACTGGCTGGATGACGACGATGACGATGGCCTGGCAGAAGAAAGGGAACAGGCGAAGAGGAGGTGGGCTGACTTGAAAGTCAGGCTAAACTGGAAAGAACGCAGACATAGGCATGCTTTGTATGTGCTCAAACAAACCAGGAAGGATGATGCACACCCTGAAGTCGATCTTAAGGTGGCAAGGCAGCAGTTGAGAGAAAGCAGAGAAATAGCGAGAATGAATAAAAAGCCATGTCACGAAATCATTGATATGATTTTTTTCTTGCGTAATTAATACAGAACAATTACGAACAAGAAGTACATTCATTTACATTCATTCATTGCATGAATTTACATTCATTTTTTTAAATGTTTTAAATTTTTTTAATTTTTTAATTTTTTTAATTTAATAATTAATTAAAGCCTGTAATATATTTAAAGTTTGCATGAGCACATTAGAAACACGAATTTAAATTCACCTGATGAGTGTGGCAAGCGTTGCTTGTCATACGAAACAAGTTTGTAGTGAATAAAATCTTATGAAGTAAACCAAGTTTATTTTATTTTATCTTTATACTAGCTCTATACTTTGGTATATCGAGCACTCTACTCATATATGATTCTAAATACATATTTGATATATATATATATATATATATATATATATATATATATATATATATATATATATATATATATATATATATATATATATATATATATATATTACCATGCGGGATTACATCATCAGGTTGACAACCCTATACTTGCCAACAGCGTGATTAGGTCAATAGAAGCCAATAAAAGTGACGGTTACGTAAAAATAGCCCTGCTGAAGGAACTTAAATCTGGTACGGGTTGATAGAGATTATTTCAGTAAAACCCATTGATATAACCCAGTTCTTTTCGATTTAACATAACTTTTTGTTCTCTCAGAATTCGCGCGATATAGAGCTATAATTACTATTCACTTTAGCTTTGTTGCAAACCTACTGTAGAATTTCACCTGACGTTCTGTTGTTGGAAAATGTGAACAGCCTATAGAGAATCCCAGCAAAGATGATCGTTTTCCTGAATATATGGCATTAAAAAATAACCCCAATTTTTTTTTCGGTTACAGTGTTTGTATTCTAGCTACTATAAACGTTTGTCGAATTTATATTTGACAACTGTATAAAAACATGCAAAAAGACAAAAAAAAACAAACAGCTCGGGCGACCTATATCAGAAGTCCCATTGGTAGTGGTTATGGTGGGCTCCGAAGTAGCGTTGGCGCTGGGACTAGAAACCCAGACTGCCCAATGTCCTCCGTTCACCCCTTTAATCTTCCCATGAATCTTTTGGGTCTCAGCATTAATAATAACCACTGTGTTGTCAGCGTCTACGACGTAAATGATCCATTTATCGTTGATAAACAGGTTGTAAAATCTTCCGAAGAAGGAGTTGACGCCTTCGATATATTTCACAGCGGAGATGTTGCCCGCATTTTTCGCCAAATCCAAGTCAACGACCATCATTTTGTCCGCGTGATCAAGAGAAAAAAATACGTAGTAACTAACTGATGAGTTTCTTTTGGGGTAAAAAACTGGGTTAGAAACTGCACCATGGATTGCAAGTTTCGTGTGACTGGCTTTAAATCCTGTTTTATTCACGGTTGAAATATCTATTCCATTGATGGCATCAGTTATCACAACATATCGACCGTTAGGAGAAACAAGCGGATAGCCGGAAATAAACCATTTTTTTGTGGCGCCACTGAGTGTGTCTAGTGCGAGTGTCGCATTTTCGTTGATTTTACAACGCACGTACACTTGTTTGTTATAAGAGTTATACACAATGCTCTGTCCGTATGTTCCACTGCAGCCATACCTTGAGAAGTTACGAAAGCGTGTGTAGTCTTTCGTTTCCAAGTTCAGTTCATGGATGCCGGAATATTTAAGACTTGTGACGAAGCCCGTCTTTCCTTCGAGCATGTTTTGGTCGGCAAGTATCCTGTCTCTATCATCTAATGAAAGTTTCATAAGATTTAAGGAGGTGTTGTGTAAAAATATAGTGAAACGTAATATTCACATATACACGTAGTATTCAAATATACACTCACCGTTTGGGAGCTGAGCATGCGCAACACGGGTGCTAGTACGATGTTCAGTGTCGATGACGTCAAACCCACCAGAAGAAAGTGATACCCAGACTTCTTTGCGCCACGGCATACACAACATCTCGAATGGTGAAGAATCTGTCTGAATGGTTTTAATCTTCTTGGTATGTTTTGATGTCGATCAAATGCACAGCACGTCCACTTCTATCCGCGACAAAAACTGTCTCATGAACAACGCAAGCCAGAGCAAACGAGCAAATGTCACTATAATGAAAGAGGGCTATTAGTTTACAAACTGTTTTAAACAAAAATCAATGTTTTAATACACATGTTTATGAGATTGTTCGCTACGGATGTAGGGTCATGCTGCCGTGTTACAACGCTAGACATCAATTTGACGTACGAGTGTTTCTGGTTTGCGTGAAAAAAGATATTCTAACTGTCGTTCGTGCCGCCGTAAAATTGAACAGGAAAGACAAATTATCTCAATTTAGTGACTTATCACATTACCACAGAACCGCCTCTGTTGACGTCACGCTGACGTAGATGTAATTAAGATTAGACCTTGTTTACACTATACCGGATTCACATGGTCACAGTGTGAAGTGTAAACAAGGTCTTGGATTGCTTATATCTGCTTTATTCAATTGGACTGCTCAATAACCCCGAATTCCTTGTAATTTTTCAAAGCACATGCGAAGGAGCATCTTTTCACGTTGAAAGCTCATGAGCCAATTTTGGAAACCTTTTCCAGTAAGAACTAGACAAACCAACCTTGAACCGCTTCTCTTGGTACACACGCCTGGCGCTGTTTTGTCTGTTATATTGGCAACAACACTTTTCGCCACCGGATCTATCACGTAAATACCATCAGTCCCCAGAACATAGAACACATTGCCTATGTCCGCTGAAGCAGTAATCGAATGACCGTGTAGAATTCCTGCAGAAAAATTAAATAGAGGATAATACACGGATGCGCGGAAATATGGAATTTATTTCGAGTGTTGAGAATGATATCGAACGAGTGAGCGTATGCCCCAGATCTGTGGATCAAACACGATAATCGCACATGTGTTATTATCATGAGTGGTTGCACATGTGTTATTATCGCTTTTCAAAATGGCGGATTCGTCAATAAAACACTGCCTATTATATAATAAAATTTAATAAACGCACATGTTAGCCTCCTCCACAGGCATCTCTTATGCCTTCATCTGCATTTATATTAGGCATTTATATTTGGCCTGGGGTAGCTGTGTCGGGGAGTGAGAAAAAAAAATTGGCTACGCACATGTGTTATTATCGCTTTTCACAATGGCGTTTCGCTAATAAAAGATCTCGCCTCTTTCGATCCCGCCTGTCCATATAAACGCACAGAAGTTTTCATTAGGAAAGACATTCGTGGCGGGATTTCGCTAGCCGGCTTCCATTTAAATAGCCTCCTATTCATATATTGAGACTTTCTCTCCTTTTTTAATTCTTTACAGAGAACACAAAAAGTTCAAGAAAACTACATAGTATATTTAATAGCTTGAGCTAATTATGTGACGCACATCGAAAGTTAGGAACTGACATTGCGTGTTTTCGAGAGAAATGCCGATTCGACATCGGACTCAACTTCCTTTTGAGTGCTTACTAAACGAAGTTAGTGTTGGGATTGAACATGAAAAAGTTGTATTGCGGTGTTTCTACATTCTTGCGCTACGAAGAAACAACATTGTAGTAACGTTAACTTACCGTAGATAACCAGTATTTGAAGCAGAACACGTGGCGCCATAACACTGAATAATATATTGTATTACAATTAATGCCTATTCAAATCCAACTATCCAGTCCAACAATTTTGATAGCGTGAAATTCTGCGAAAATTCTGCTAGATTATGCAGAAGGCTACGAATTTGGTCGTTTGATCTCAAGTCCTGGTGGTTACCGATGTGATATTCGAAGCTTTTTCGATAATATAAACAAGTAAAATACAATCCAATCGCAGATGTTAATGTTGCTAAGCGTATGAAAAACTAATGATTAAATTGCAACTTTAGTTATTCCTGCTGACTTCCCTTGAACGAACTAAAGCGAGGGCGACTCGATGCTTTGCCGATCGACAATTTTAGATATTTTCAGTCATTCCTTATCCCGGTCTTGATTTGCGTGTTGTAAGCGCCTAAAGCCCATTTCTCATATGTCACGGACGAATGAAGAGCTTTGTTATTTTGAATAAATTTCTTTTTCGTCACCGACACCCCCATTTGGGTTTACATGAATATGCGGAGTGCCGGAGTGCGGAGTGCGGAGTGTTGAAAATGCGGAGTGTTGAAAATGCGGAGTGTTGAAAATGCGGAGTGTTGAAAATGCGGAGTGTTGAAAATGCGGAGTGTTGAAAATGTAATATGCGATTTTCTTCAACAAAGTGTACGCAGATATTGGCTCGTATATCTCATTGATGTCTCGATAAGTGTTTATCAGTAATGGAAACTCCGTGATGACGTTTTCAGCGATGGATTTCAATTCATCCCATGTCATGCATTGATCAAGGGGCAGGAAACGGTCACATATTGCTAAGTCAAGAAAAACGCAAGCATTTGTTCCGTCGTTGCTTGGGACTGAACATATTATTTCGTCAGCCGTTCGCAATGCCGCCGTAGTATTAGGAGCCGATTGAACAATATTTTCTGCTAACATGCCGTCGAAGTTACTCAAAGCAGTTGCCTGACTGACATTTAAATGCACCACATTTAGGCTTTCCTCGGGCTGTTTAACTGACAAGATCGATGACAGTTCCAATGCTTGAGCTCTAAGATTAGGATCAAACTTTACGCATGCGTTATACGCTTCTTCTACTTGCCACCACTCTGATAGAAGAAGGAATTCATAATTTGACCGTTGTTGCGGCACTTTTCTTGCTTCATGCAGGCACTTCAACGAATCCAGACTTTCGTTCAGTCCAGCTTCGGCAAAAACAGGTTGATAAGGATGGTCAACGTCCGGGTTAAGTAAGCAGTACATGACCAAACCAAAAGCCCACATATCTGCTTTCTTCAGATCATCGTGAGTAAGAGCTTTAGTCGGGTGCGAATGAAGCTCGAAGGCCATGTAAACTGGTGTACCACGGTTTAATCGGTTTGTTTGAGACTGTACAAGAGTTTGTGTTTGTAAATTGGTTGCTCTGCTCTCCCCGAAATCCGACAGTTTGCACAGTATGGGATTGCTAGAAAATTTCTCGTTGCGGGCACTTTCTTCGAGCTCACTAGTGTAATGCTGATTCGACACCAAAATATTTTCTGGTTTTAAGTCACGGTGAACGACGCCATTGCTATGAAGGTAACATAACCCATCTGCTATATCTCTAGCGATTTTTGTCTGACATTTTCGAAGCGCGTGAACATCGAGTTGCTCGTCAATGAAATGTAGGAATTCACCAAGCGAGGTGACTTTTTTGTTCACCTCAAAAACAGTAAAATCGAAACAAAGATATTCCAACATGATTGCATAGGGTTCTGTGCAAAAGGCAATAAAAGAGGAAATGTTTTTATGTCCCTTAAGTTTCGAGAGCAGACGTGCTTCTTTCAGAAATAAACGTTTGCTTTCTCTGTTATGCCCGCGCAGTACTTTTACAACTACGTCGTCGTTGTTACTGTTGTATTGGCCACGATACACGCTTCCAAAAGAACCCATTCCAAGTTCTTCTTTGTTTGTAAAGTCGCGCCACGAAAATGAAGGAATATCTATCGCAGCTCTGCATTCCCGCACGGATAGCTTTGGAAAAACAAACTCATTCGTCATTTTGAAAAATGAACTGTGTCCTAAAAGCAGTCAGTATTCTTTGTTGTCCATAGTTGAATGAAGTATGAAGTATTATTAGCTTAATAAGAAAGCGTTCGATTAAATGTTGAAAAACATTACGGCAAACATGAAAAACGCCGGTTTTCAGGTTGCGACAAATTTGATACATCTGTCGGCGTAATATGACATATCGTATGACACCCGAAAGGCTTCCTCATGCGACGATAACTTTGTTTTCGATTTATGTTACGAATATGTGTGTATGCATGTATGGATGTATGTATGTATGTATGTCTTAGAAATATTCGATACATATATGTTTTAAGATAACCCATCGTAGACATACATTGCATACACGTTTATAAACTTCTTTTAAGTTTTTGAATACATTTGTTTAGCAGTCAAAGTCAAAACTAGAAATTGTATTGTCAACACACGCAAATATTGTGAATGATAAGAGAGATTTTAATGAAATAAAGTTATGAAATGTGCATATAGAGCAAATTTTAAGCGAACAGTTGTAGTTCTTTGCCGGCTTCAAGTCCAGTGGTAGTGTTAAGAAAAGGTTTGTTATATTTGATTAGGATTGCTTCGAGAAAGGTGGGAATATGATAAAGCTATATCGTAAAGTAGTGAGAAGCCGTTTCTAGTTTGTTAATTTTTTATTATTATGCAAAGCGGTGCTCGCACGATGAAAAATAAATACACAAAAAATAAGAGCATTCGCTGCGGTTCCATAAGATGAAGTTAGGATTTTAATTTTGTCACTACCGTATTTCTTGTTCCTAAGGTGAAATCTTTATATAATTTTAAAAACAAATACACTCCGCAATTTCAACACTCTGCATTTTCAACACTCCGCATTTTCAACACTCCGCATTTTCAACACTCCGCATTTTCAACACTCTGCATTTTCAACACTCCCGCATTTTCAACACTTCGCATTTTCAACACTCCGCATTCTCAACACTCCGCATTTTCAACACTCCGCATTTTCGACACTTCGCATTTTCAACACTCCGCACTCTGCACTCCACTCCGCATATTCAGGTAAGCCCCCGCAATGACCAATGTGATTGTCACCAGCCATCAACAATACATCGCCCACTGTCGATGACATATAAGTTTATTCTCGATTGTAACTATTAACTTCGACATGCTGTAAGGCATTGTATATTGCATGGCTATTCAATCACTATATATCGTGGAGAAGCAATTATGTAGTATTTCAGTGTATTAATTGTGTGCTTTTGATAGTGCCTAACCGGATGCATGCATGATACTTAGAAATTAATCGCAATATCGGATATCGCAATATTGAATGTATTTTATTTCAACAATATACAACCTGAGCATACCGTAATTACTCGAATAAACGCTTCCCTCGAATAAACGCCGCCCTCGAATTAACGCCGCAGGGAATGGCAAAAATATCATAAACGCCGCCCTAAAATAAACGCCGCAACCTTTTCGTAATTGCGGCGTTTATTCGAAGCATTTATTTATAACCACAGTAAGAAATTCAAGTATCTATCTTTACAAAAAAGACAACATTGAATCTAAACCAGTCGTGGAAATTTATTTTTCTCAGTTTGAATGTTATTCAGTTCAAAGAGGCTATACTTCATAGCTTGCTGCTTAGCTCTCTCTCTCCAAAACTTCTGCGATGCGTAATTCCGTGGTAACAGCCAAGAATCTTGCCGGTACCACTAGATTGTATTGGGTGGTTAAATTGGCGTTTAAATTACACAATAAATGCAGAGTTGTTACGAGTTTGCAATAAACGCCTCCCTTGAATAAACGCCGCCCTCGAAAAAACGCCGCATCTTAATTGCTAAAAATTTAACAAACGCCGCGGCGTTTATTCGAGTAATTACGGTATACGTATATTTTTATTTAGCATTTTCGTGCAGTTGTTTTAACAGCCCATTAGGTTTATTCATTAACACGTCAGGCCGGTCAAATTCCATAAGTTTAACCTGATCCAATACTATCACCCTGTCACACTTCAGTGTCATACTCAGTCGATGTGCAATGATGATAACTGTGCAGTCTTTAAACATTTCGCTGATTATTCGTTGAATTTTTTCCTCCGTGCTTTCATCCACCTTTTCTTTCGCTTCTGAAATATGTTTGCGAGTTGAAAGCGTATTGAAATGTTTGATATTCAAGCCATCAATCATAATCTCGCCCCGGGTCCCTGCAAGGCGCATGAGCGCGGCTATGACAGATGATTTTCCCGCACCAGTCCTTCCAGCTATTCCGACTTTCTCCGACGAGTTTATTTTAAACGAAACGTTCTTCAAGGAGTCTACGCCACCGATGTGACACGAAAGCGAAACGTCCTTAAACACAACTTCGCCCGCGCGTGGCCAATTTTCGGGTGGCGTATCAGGCTCATCCTGCCCGCGCTTAGGCTCGATTCTGGTGTGGGCAAGCACACGTTCCGCTGATGTCATCTGTGAGTTGACGTCACCCGTTACGAGAAATTCTTGAATAGCACGGTGATGTCGTTACAGTTTCTGGGTTCATGGTTTCGTTGGAACTTTTTTACATAAAGATCGAACGTGCAAGGGAAGCAATTGTCGTTTATGACACTGCTTTAACAGCTGCTGAATGTATGTCTGATTCTGTTGCGGACCAACGGAAGGGCCGAGGGGAGCATTTATGGAATTACAACTTGGTCATGCGCACAGGGTACATGCTAATAACAACACCGGCGAAGAAAGGAGTCGGGAAAGGGATTTGGCAAGAAAGTATTACGAAACCGGTGAAAACATGAATTTTCATTCCTCATCGTTGTGTAAGAAGTTAAGTCTTGCTTGCTGGCTATTGGAAAAAAATGAGTTTATAGAAGCCATTGGGTTGCTTTATCCGTTGCTGGAAATCCATGATAAGTTAGCGAATGTTCCTGTAGTTTTAGGATTTTCTTCAAGATTCTTTTATGGTCCAGCGATAAAAGGCTATATCGAGGAACATGGCGAATGCATGACAACATTTGCAAGTTTGATGTGCAGCGTGGCTGTGTTTGTTTATGCTGAGTTAGGATTGACAAGTGACGCGATTACGACTTGTGAGAAACTATCAACTCAACGCGATCTGAATGGTATTTTAGGAGTCCAACCCTCAGTAAATTCCTATCTTCTTGCTGCCTGTCATCGGAAATTGTCGTTTCTCATAGATGATGGAAAACTAGAGGATCGTGACTTTCTGCTGTTGCCAATGAATCTAGCCAAGCTTGATTTTGAAGCGGGACATTACGAAGGTGCTCTAAAATACTGTTCTGATACCTTGAAGTCAGTTGAATCCCCCGTTAGCGAATTGGAATCGACCGAGAAGAATGCCTTAAAACTGGATTGCATGCATATTGTTGGAAATACATTAATTCAAACAGGCAATCACGCCAAATGTGCTTCGTATTTTGTCTTATTCTTGGAGATACTTCACGAACAAAAACAAATTTTAGATTTAGAATTTGAGAAACAATGTGCTGTACTTGAAGAATGTTCATTTGCAGACCGCTCTTACGTTATGCGTTCGTTAGGAAATTTGTGTGCGAGACGTGGACGCTACGATTGCGCGATTAAATGTTACGAGAAATGCTTGGAGAACGACGAAAGCCTGGAATCTCAGCAGGACTTGGTCGGAACTTTAGCAGAACTTTATCAAACAAAAGCTCTGCTGGCCAAGGAGGACCAACCTGTGTACACACATTGGATGAAATTGGCTTCTGATCTGTATGCGAGATGTTTTGAAAAGATAGCAAAACCTGTTCCATTTGTTCAGTCATCTTATGGCTTGTTTCTCTGCAAGGGCGATCGCCACAGCGAAGCCATTGAATACTTACTGAATGTTATCGAAACTCCCGAGGATACATCAATATCATTTAACGAGGAAGACAAGCCGTTATTAGATGCACATCTTGCTCGTGAAATCGAAGCTCGTAGCTCGATCAGTTTGCCATTAAAAGTATTCGCTTACTATCAATTATGTATGGCGTACGTGGTAACAAACCAGATGGAGAAGGCACAGGAATCTGCTCTCGAACTGGAGAACTATGTTTCTCGCTTACAATCGTCTTCAGAGTATTCTCTTATTCTTTCTATCGTGGGGTATGCGTACAAACTGGTTGGAAACCAAGAAAAGGCTGTTAATGTGTTGGTTTCTGCCTTGGAGAAAATGCCGAGTCATCCACCGTTAACTGAGGCACTTGAATACTTTTTTCTGGACCTTGATTAAAATCCAAGAAATCTCAAACGAATCGGTTGTGGTGGAAATTTTTGGAGTTTATATTATTGAAATGCCATAATTATTATCGGACATTCGCCGGCCAAAAGTAATTGAATGAAAAGGAATCAAAATTTGAGGTGCATTAAACGAATACATACAATACAATACCTAATTTCAACAAAGTTGACAACAATATTGTTTTCGACTAATAATAAACCTCACAACAAACTTGTCCAATCACGAACTTGTTTCATCCCGCATGACAATGCACGGTAGCTTATATATTTCAGGGATACCAAGTCTCGGACAGCTCGTATCACGGGTGTTTTACCCGGGGCATGGTATTTACTTGACTCGTACCCTGACTGTCATCTAATTTTGCTGGCAAAAATTTGCAAGTCAACAGGAAGAAATGGAGTCGAACAAGAAGAAATAAAAAGATTAATATGAGAGTCGCTAAAATGTACCAGTTATAGACCTTTGAAGTCAGGGTATTTGCCCCAAACTTAAGATTTCCCAATTTTTATTTGAATAATAATTATACCTCACCGGCACAAAGCTGAGTCTATAAAGAAAAGACATAGTTTGTCAGTCAAAGACGTAAATTGTATAATCAATCAATGCAGCCTGATGCATTGGACAGATAGATGCAGATCCTTAACAGGGATCTGGCACTCATTGGCGAAACAAGTACGATCGTACTATAAGGACCAGGAACTGCGTAACCGAGTTTAATTTCTGAACTGCATTGTATTTATAACAATGGAGAG